TATTTTTCTTATATGTATATATATATATATCCATACCAACTTACCTCACACTCTGATATCAATGATAGTTGTATTACACAGTCTAAAAATAAGTCAATAAGAAATTCCACCAGTGATTTCCTTCCACTTAGATAACTCCCATACCGATGTTCTGAAGTGTCTCCTTTATTGAGTTCCTTAGAAATGTCATAAATCTGTATTTATTGTTCTGAAAGCAAACATTTCAAGTTTTCTTGAGGATTCATGTGTTGATCCTTCCAATATCCTAGAGCAGAGATCACCTGGACAAAACACTTTCCCGCACGGTACCAGGTAAACTGAAGGTGTGTATTCCTATCCTCACTTTTACTGAATATCTAAACTTATAATCTTACTAAAAAACAAAAGCAACATACCCATTTACTACTTAGTCCATTCCTAAGTTATTCTTAATGTTCACTCTGTGTTTAATAAGCAGTACCCTACTTATGTTTTCCTTACTTGCAGGTTTTAGTAAGTTTTTACTGTGAGTCTCACACAAGATTATCTCATTAAACTTTTCCTTTTTTTCAGTGTTTGTCTTTCTAAAATATTGGACTGCAGCCATAGATGTGCATTTTTTTTATCTTGCAATTTATTATGAACTTGAGCTCAAAACCACTGCATCTAAGATTATTTTCTATCATCAGTTTTTCCTGAAGATATTACTGCTCACTGGAACTAGGCAGAAGAAAGATATCATATCTAGTTGGCTCAGTATCTGTTTCATAAAAGAAGCTATCTTCTGTCATGTCCATATTCATATGGTCCCCAATTTTTTAAATATATATATAATTGCTTGTAGGTAATCACATAAATAACATGCATAATCACATGGTTTCCATTCTTTTTTTTTTTTTTTCCCCCATGGTATTTGTAAGGATTATTAACCATATTAACTCTGTACCAAGAGATTCATARTATTCCCATGAAACGTCTTTTCCTTCCCTTTTCACAGTAATTTTCATTCAAATAGATTGTTTCATCCTTGCCTGCAAATTTAATTTCATTATTTCACTGTTGCTTAATAGTCTTTATTTCTTAACTCTTTGATTATTTGGTCTTTGGTATATTAATATGCAATTATTCTACCATCTTTTTTTTCTGTCTTTCCTAAACAGAATGTATCCTTCATTCCCCATGTATTCCACCTATAGCTTTGGTACAAACATGTTTCTTTTTCTCTGTATTGTTTGATTCCATGTTCTGGACTCGATGTTCCTGTAAGTCTTATTAAATGAATCACTATAGGTAGAAAATAGACATATTGCAGCTACAGTTGGTGTAAGAATAAACCAGGTACCAAGACGTATGCTTCTGTTTACCTATCTTTTCTGTAATTCCATCCTCATTAATTTTTCTTCTCTTTATTTGTATTCCTGGCGAAGATTTAACATGCTATTCCCAACTTTGCCACAGAAATTTTCAGGATAAGGGTTTCATAGGACTTCCCGCTTCACTGAAAAGTAAGTGGAAGAAAAAGCAATTAGCAAAAGGCACTACATTGTGATGGTAACAAAGACCAGTTTGTTTCTCATGAATGTTGCTAACAACATTGTTTGCTTTTCTCACTCACTGGATTATAATCCAGAGACAGTTAGATACAACTTTCCACTGTAAGCAATACTTTCAGACTCCATTCAAATAGCTGAGATGAGTAGGAACACTGTGTCCTCTCACGCGACTCAGGGATATTGAAATATATATCCTGCAAAACTCTACAGAATTTTAAGTACAGGTACTAAGATAAAAATATAACCTTAATTGGAATTAGAGTGAATGGAATAGTGGCATGATAGTTCTACACTAGTAACTATTTAAACCTCATGTGTGCTACCAAAATAATCTAGAAGCCTAACAAATGGAAAGTAAGATTTTACTAAATCAGTTTTTCTATTCATTATACTTTTTAGTATCTCATTATCACAGGAAAAGAATAATTGAAATGTAACATTTGTGTAATGCTCCCTTTTACATCACAGTTTATAACATTATTTCAGATTTATGAAATAGCAATGCTTCCAAAATGATTCCATTGAAATTGTTAAACTCAATCTAGCTGCTGAGTATTTTTTAATCTTTTATCAATAAAAAGGTATTTGTGTGTGTATGAGACAGAAAAACAGAAATATAGACATCACAAATACACAACTATTCCAGGGTTTAAAAACACAACCATATGTACATAGAATCTCATATACTGAAAGTACTGAATTACGACTTTAAAACAAATGTTCTTCAAAAATGGTGATAATATGCAAAAATTTTGTAAAACATCTTTAATATTATTTCAACTCTCATCATATATTTCATAAAAGATATTAGAAATGTTTTAAATGTTATCAATAAAAGTGTGCCAACACTGTATTTGTGTTCTCCTGAGTACAAGTAGCACAAGCTTGGTTTGGCAKGCAAAAAAGAATTTCAGAGACGCTTTAATAATAGAAGTAGGCACTTTGTCTGCCTGAGAAACTCCCCAAACCTTTTGCCAGGTCAAGCACACTACCTGTATATAAACAAGTGTTACGGTTCATATAGGAAAGTTGTTTCTCCTATAGATCCCGGATCCTGCTTATTTCAGGCCTCAGGAAAGAGCATTTTCGAGTGACACCCCTTTCCTGTTTGGCAAAGACCCCCAAAACCTTTGGGGAAGGCTGATTGTTGAACAAAAGGTGATTTTTTTACATCTCTTCCCGGGCTTAGCACCTTTGGATGTTAACATACAAGCTGACAGAGGCCTGCTGAAAACACAACTATAGCTCAGGCATCGTACGCAGACTCCCCTGCAGTCTTTTATGTTTGAACTCGCGCATGCAGCACAACTGGGTCCCAACACGGCGTTTCACTGCAAGGTGGTTTCCAACCTGTGCTGTGTGCACGTTACGCCATCTCTATCCATGCACGCCTAATGCCTCTCTGATTTACATACCAACACGTGCAGAGCGCCTAACACATATAGGAGACCTACACACGGCTTGTATGCATACAAGTAACACACACGTATTTTTTCACTCAAAAGCCTAATTTCACAGGGCCAAGGCCACCTAAACTCGGAAACCACCAGGGTCTCCGCTCGGCGACTCCAGTTCAGCAGCATGGGAAGCAGCCCCCGCCGACCCGCGGCTGGGGCGGCCGGGCAGGGGACGGSAGGGGATGGGAGGGCAGCTCCACTCCGCTCCGCTCGGCTCCGCTCCGCCGCCCCGCGCGGCGCCCGCCCGCCCGCGCTCCGCTGCGCGGCGGCGCCACCTGGCGGCGGCTCCTCTGAACCCAGCGCACCGTGCTCCGCTCTCTCCCTCCCTCTCCCGCAGCTCAGCGCGGAGCCGGGGAGGGGTGGGGGGAAGCACAAAATCCCACCCGTGGATGCGCGCGGCGTCCCTCTCAGCGCCCCTTATCCGCGGGCAGTGAGTGCTGCGCGCCCGCGCCGCGGCCCCTCCGCAACAACCAGGGGCGGCGGCGCTGGAGGCGGCGGCTCCCGCCGCCCGCTCCCGGCCATGGGCAGCGGCCGCTGCGGGCGGGGGCGGCGGGCGGCCCGGCCCGAGGGCGACGGAAGGAGGGAGGGAAGGGGCGCGGGGCGGCGGCCGCTGCTGAGCGCGCGGCAAGTTGGCCCGCGGCGCGGGGTGTGAGTACAGCCGCGCGCGGGGGTGCGTGCGCGACAGGCGGCGGCAGCGGCTGTATCGGCATGCGTGTGCCTGTGCGTGTGCCTGTGCGTGTGTGTGTGCGCGCAGCCGAGCGCCGCCAGCAGCCCCCGGCCTCCT